TTTAACACAAAACTCTAACTGTGTGTTAAATAGAGAAGATGACTAATTGTTTTAACACAAAACTCTAACTGTGTGTTAAATAGAGAAGATGACTAATTGTTTTAACACAAAACTCTAACTGTGTGTTAAATACAGAAGATGACTAATTGTTTTAACACAAAACTCTAACTGTGTGTTAAATAGAGAAGATGACTAATTGTTTTAACACAAAACTCCGACTGTGTGTTAAATAGAAAAGTTGAATAATTGTTTTAACACAAAACTCTAACTGTGTGTTAAATACAGAAGATGACTAATTGTTTTAACACAAAACTCTAACTGTGTGTTAAATAGAGAAGATGACTAATTGTTTTAACACAAAACTCGACTGTGTGTTAAATAGAGAAGATGACTAATTGTTTTAACACAAAACTCTAACTGTGTGTTTGTCATCTTCTCTATTTTTTTGTGTTAAAACAATTACTCTGTACATTATACTTCGTTTATTAAAGAAACTGATATGTAGCGCTTGAATAAACATTTTTCAAAACAAGATGACAATTTCCAGATTTGTTAATGTAGTTTTTGTTTCTTTCTGACTTGTTTAACATCTAAGCATCATCAAAATGTGAGTTAAACAGCAAACATAAATATACACGTGTTATTTAACATTGGAACATGTGAATTAAACAGTATACAAACACACTTACACATTACTTAACATCAGAGTATTTCCAACACGTGAATTCAATAAAGCACCCAGTAGTATTCACACACATATGTGTACTTCCTGATAAATCTTAAACTTAACAAGTTTGTTTTTGATTTTACAATTCCTGAGTTAATGCATGTTTATAATCTAATACTTTATCTGGAGAACTGAAACTATGTTACAAAGTTATTTATGTGTTGTAACACTAGAGGGCTATCCAAAGCATTCGGCTTCGTACCAGAGCACTGACATTCACAGGATCAGGTTCCTCTGTATTCCGCAGATCATTGATCTCCAGATTCGTGCGGGCTATTGACTGATTAATCTTGGCAACGTGCGTGTCAGCATTGCGCATCTCTCTTTCATTTGATTGCTTCTGTTCAGAAGTTTCCTGGAAATTTCGCTGCATTTCTTGAATTTGACTTTGAACACTCTTTGCTTCCTGCTTCTTGACTCTGCAATTATTAAAAATTAAATTAACATTTACTTAAAAAAAAATGGAGAAAAGAAAAAAATTATCAACGCTACTGAAGAAATATTTCCATGGGAAAATTGTACACATCAACTTCTGTTCTTTCAAAGAATTCTTTAAATCACAAAACCAAACAAACAATCAGAACTAATATATATAAAACAAAACAGGAAGGAATCCTCAATAACCGTGGCACTTGAAATTCTTTTAGGCAGTATCAAAGTAGAGACCTTTATTAGCTACATTTTAGTGTGCCAGCAATACCAAGCATGGGGCAACACGTACATCTGATTCAGATTAGTCTACGAGACCTTTATTAGCTACATTTTAGTGCGCCAGCAATACCAAGCATGGGGCAACACGTATATCTGATTCAGATTAGTCTACGAGACCTTTTATTAGCTACATTTTAGTGCGCCAGCAATACCAAGCATGGGGCAACACGTATACCGATTCAGATTAGTCTACGAGACCTTTATTAGCTCCATTTTAGTGCGCCAGCAATACCAAGCATGGGGCAACACGTATACCCGATTCAGATTAGTCTACGAGACCTTTATTAGCTACATTTTAGTGTGCCAGCAATACCAAGCATGGGGCAACACGTATACCTGATTCGTTTTTATTACTACGCAGAATATCTAACAGTCTAGCCTCAAACTGAAATTATTTTACTCAGGATTAGAGTAAATTAATCTATGAGACCCTGGGCATGGTCAAACACATCAGTCGAAAGGCTTTGGCCTCCTTAGTCCAAAACTGTAATTAGATCTCAAATCAGCCAAGAGATGACCTATGAGCTAAATGTTTGTACTTGAAAAAAAAAACTCGGAGTGATTTAAAGAGCCACGGCTAAAAAAGGTCGAAAATCTCCGAGTCAAGTACACGTGGTTAATTCATAAATAATATCTTAATGATGGAAAACTCTACAGCTCAGAACTCACTTGTCAGTAAAGTGAGGTACCAAAAGTATGTGGACCAGAGAATATGAAAAGATAAAACTTCAAAGTTGTAAATATTTATGGTTTTATACTACACAATAATTTTGGAAAGTTTACGTTCAACATAATATGATCTTAAATCCTTAAAATTGAACATAGTCAATTGTGAAGTCCTTAAATCTGGACATAGTCTAACCCGAAATTCTTAAAACTGGACATAATCTAATATCAAATCCTTACTTCTAGATGTAATCTAATTTTAAACAAATAAATCTGGACATCAATCTTCTGCAACAATTACTTTCAATGGTACTCATGATTCAGATTACTTTTTATCACAGACTAGAGCTGACTTAAGTCTGTTCTATTGATGTTTAAAATTACCTTAATACGATAAAGTTAGACTACCTATCAAGGCACGACAATTCAAGCAGTATTACTAACTTGATTTCTTCTTCCACGTTTCCTTGAAGCAAACTGGCCCGATGTTTTAAAGATGAGTAGTAGCGGAAACTTGGTGACGGATATAATTGGTCTCCCTCTATTGTGAAAGCTTCTCGACAATTCTTTGGTACATTGTTTAACATAACTTGACGAGCTTGTTCTTTGTCAGGAATAAGAAGAACGCACTCAATCATTCGCTAGAAAGAGAGAAAAATACAAACACATATATTTCTTCATACATACTAGTAGATAAAAAGAGGGGTAACCACATTTTTTTCAAAACGTTTTCCCTACCTTACTACACAAAGTTCCAAAATTTCCAGACCTACATACATGAATTTATTACACACTAGCATTTCACTCGATACAGAGCTGACTGGGACATAACAAATACACTAGTGGTTGGAACATTATTTACATAAACCATTTATTACAACAATGCTTTTGCAAGATGATGTTGACAGCAACAGGTATGGCAGACAATACTGTGGTTGAAATACTCTAAAAGGACTGAAGAAAAGAATATAGTGTAAAAAAGATATATAATAAGCCTAATACTACTGTTTTATGTAAAAAATATGATTAATTATTATGATGCTTCGTGAGCTTGGAAAAGGAAATGTCATTATTTAAGTAGTGTAACAAGCACAATAAAACTGGGGATTTGGTTGTTTAAGTAGTGTAACAAGCACAATAAAACTGGGGATTTGGTTGTTTAAGTAGTGTAACAAGCACAATAAAACTGGGGATTTGGTTGTTTAAGTAGTGTAACAAGCACAATAAAACTGGGAATTTGGTTGTTTAAGTAGTGTAACAAGCACAATAAAAGCGTTTGGGGATTTGCTTGTTTAAGTAGTGTAACAAGCACAATAAAACTGGGGATTTGGTTGTTTAAGTAATGTGACAAGCACAATAAAAGCACTTGGGGATTTGGTTGTTTAAGTAGTGTAACAATACAACCACTTGGGGATTTGGTTGTTTAAACAGTGTAACAAGCACAATAAAACCACTTGGAGATTTGGTTGTTTAAGTAGTGAAACAAGCACAATAAAAACAATTGGAGATTTGTTTGTTTAAGTAGTGAAACAAGCACAATAAAATCATTTGGAGATTTGATTGTTTAAGTAGTGTAACAAGCACAATAAAACCACTTGGAGATTTGGTTGTTTAAGTAGTGTGACAAGCACAATAAAAACAATTGGAGATTTGGTTGTTTAAGTAGTGTAACAAGCACAATAAAATCATTTGGAGATGTGACTGTTTGTTTAAATAAATGAAATTTTTCTTTATTGTAGCGACACTAAAATGTGATACAAATTTTTGAAAATCTATCTATAGCACAAACACTTAAATTTCACCACATTCAGAGTTAATCACTTTATAAATACTTGGAATTTACCTGATCAATAAGACAGTTGACTATAACTGGATCTTTAACGGACAATATTTCCAGGACACTTCGGAATTCTGTGCTTTGTACAGCATAATCCACTACATCATACAGCTGAAGGAACAAAAAATTCTTAACACCCAACAAAAGTTTGTGACAAAAGAAATACAGTAAAATATATCTTCAAAAACTTTATTTAAAATGGACCAGCACCTGTTGGGTATTGATTGAACTATCTATAACCATAAGTTATTGAAAAAAAACAAAACGTTCATATGTACCAATTATTTCAAAAATATGACAATAAAACACCCCACTTGAAGTTCACAATAACAGAATAATACATTAGTTACTAACTGAAAACCTTGTCTGTGAAATTAACAGAAAACTCAAACAAATAGAGTTATCAAGCTTATAACGTCACGTAAAAACTACCCAATAACTGATCTGACTCAAGTTTTCTAGAAGAACAAAAAACTAGATTTTTGGCATAGAAAAGGTTTAATTCACAAGAAGTAAGATGTCAGGTAGCTTTTCACTTGCATGTACAAAAAAAAAATTACTTTCAAAACTTCAGCTATTACATTCTGGCTTGAAAAGCATCAAACTGAACAGATTCAACTAGTAACAGATGAATTAACATAATCCGTAGTCCAATTTGAAAAATTTTAATAACAGGTTGTTTCATAAGAAAAAAAGAAGAGGGAAAAGCATTAGTTTCTTTCAATATGATCTAAATATATTAGAAATAGATATTTATTTTCAATATGATCTAAATATATTAGAAATAGATATTTATTTTCAATATGATCTAAATATATTAGAAATAGATATTTATTTTCAATATGATCTAAATATATTAGAAATAGATATTTATTTTCAATATGATCTAAATATATTAGAAATAGATATTTATTTTCAATATGATCTAAATATATTAGAAACAGATATTTAAACGTTTTTCTAAAACATTATTGGTGAGTCCAAATTCCACTTAAAAAAAATAACAAATTTTAGATCATCAACATTTTTTGTATCAGATTAAATACATATAACTTGAATACATTTTAACCCCACATTTTTTCCTCATTTTTTTAACGTATGAAAGAACAAGTATAAATTTATCTTTATAAGTTTTTAAGTTTAACGGTACCATTTTTAAGTTTAACGGTACCGTTTTTAAGTTTAACAAGTACTGTTTTTAAGTTTAACAGTACCATTTTTAAGTTTAACGGGTACCATTTTTAAGTTTAACGGGTACCGTTTTTAAGTTTAACGGGTACCGTTTTTGCCCTGAAGGCAAGGTTGACTCAGCCATGAATCAAAATGGTAAGAG